GCATGTGTTACATGCCTTGTTGACAAATAGGGTGTCATGATTTGCCCAATGCATGTGAGCGTGAGTGCAATGCCACCACAGTTAAGGTATCAAATCAGATGGTATTACAAAGATGGCACTACAGTCATAGACATGTTCTTCCACTTGAGGTGCATGTACATGTATGTACAGTACATGTATGTACCCGTATATGCACAGTTGACAAGACACAGCACATTAGTGTAGGCCTACATGTATACCCAGCAAGATATGTACCCCCCCCCTTACAAGTTACAGTACATGTCCAATATACAAACACTCTAGACTATTGTTACTTAACACATCCCCCATAGATGTCTGTAAAGAATTCCTGAGATTCCGATCAAACAATGACCAACACAATTAAAGTGGGGGGAAGGGTACTCTCAATCTCATATCTTGCTTCATATGGAGCGTAGAACCATAATACAGTCATGGCTTAATCTTGTTGCTCAGTTAGCTTGAAAGATGACTCAACAGGTGTGCCCAGTAGATTTGTGCTGTTTCATGATTGAGTCCACAAGGCAACTAAAGAAGCCTGTGGTGTTTCATGTTTTTGCATTTTGTTTTTTAAATACAATGGTAGACCAATGCAATTGTAGGACTTAGTAAACACAAAAGTGCATTTGTATGTACAGGTACCCTGTAATGGTCGAAGCAAAATGTCAGATATTTGGAGAAGTTACTCCAACAGGTGACAAAGAGTTGCCACTATTTCTGTGGGATCTGGGGGTCTGCACTCTGCAATGAGAATGCTTCCCTAGCACGCCTAGCATCAATGGTTCCCTGACATGAAACTTTTACTGACTTAACAGACAGTACAATGTACATGTCACACAAAGGATTCTATTTCAAAAGACTTTTATGGTAATTAAAAAACTTTTAAACTGTAATAGTGCACCCTTGGAGACAAAAGTTCAAATTCCCAAAGAGTATAGGACATGGGTAATTACCAACGTCATGCTCCACTTTCTTTTTTTTTATTCTTTCAATACATCTTTCTTTTTTGATGTCTAGCATTTCCACTGAAAAATCATGAGAATCAATTATTTCTTTCGGGCATAACCTACAAATGAATAAGTAAAACAAACACAAGTCCAGTTTCATAAAGGCTTGAAACTAGTGTAGTATTCCATTTTGACCAGTTGAGAAACCACATTTTCCCGTTTTGATCACTCAAATCAGAGCTCAAATACTCGAGTTACTTCTTTGAGTTGTGGAGGCATTTGTGTGGGCCACAACTTACTCAGCACGCATGTGTGAAAGCCGCCTTGCAAAGGCATGAATAACACTGTGCCATAAAAGGTGTTTCACGTGATATATCATAAAATGAAACTAAAGTATATGAAAAAGTGATGCTTAAGTGTCTGTGTTCACATTCTGACTTTAATTGTTCATAAATTCTCAATGAATCTTATGGACATAGGTCATTGATCACGAAGTTTAAGTCAGACTATGTTTTCTTGCAGGAGTAGGTGGCACTGACATTGCCAAATACATTGGGTGCATGAAGGATCAAAGTACACTTCAATTTAAATTTCGTTGTCGGCATTTTGCAGGACGGATCAAAGTATGCACTGAACTTTGTTGTCGGAATTCTGCCCCTTAATTGAGAAGGCAGATAAAGGTCTACACTAAACTTTCCTGTCAGAACAGGCAACCATATGGACAATGTTTTGTCTATTTATGGAGGAAGAAAAACATTCCTCCATGGTCTCTTTTATACACATTAAATGCCTTTGTGAGTTTTCACAGCTCATTGGGCACAAACGACATTAAGAAATGTTTGGTAGATTATTTGCATATAGCTCTATAAAGCAAAAAGGTTTTTATTTTATTAACATTTGAGCTGCTGTGTAATCGTCCACAGACACCTTGTAAAGTCCACAAACAAAACATTCAATTTTGTTTTAAAAGGCCTACATTACGTTTTATTTCATTTTCATTCCCGCCAACATGCATTATCAGATGCTTAATCTGTAAGTCTGCAGCCACTTTAATATCTGTAGGTTCAACATAACCCCTTTTGACCAAATTTGCTCACATGATGAGGGAGGAATACTTTAACTCATCAGTAGATGATACTTCCATCTGTTGAGTGCCGGACTTTACAAGCACTCCTGATGCTGTACATAACGAGGAACCAGATGGGTCAGCGTGATTTGTCATGGGTTGAGTGAAAGCTTTTTTTTAAGTTGGTACTCGGATCAGTCAACCTTTCAGATTCAAAATGGAAAAAAAATGTTTTTTATTTAAAAAAAATTGGGATCCACTGAAAAACAATTTACCAATATAAAAAATACTTTCATCTGTCCTCATTGAACATTTTTCTAAAAAAATCTGTACACCAACTTATAAAAAAGGCCTCCATTAGGTTGCCTTCTAGCTTTTCTTTTTTTTTTGTTTTCCAATTCATTCCATTCAATCAATATGTACTTTTCTACGAGAGGAGACTACACTTCAAACTCCATGGAAGCTTCCTTTAAAAGAATCCTTTAAAGCCACGATTATTTTTCTACTGGAGTTTCCCCAGCAAGATACACATGTACATAAAAACATTACGCCTTAAGGTCAAACCAGTACCGTGTCGTACACGAACTCAATGTACTGTGCATCACTGTGCAGTATATGTAAGTCCAAGCACAATGTGCGACTGCGTACGGATGAAATAAGATTCCGGTTCTGGAAAGATCCGGCAGAAAGTCGCACTGGCCACCTGCAGTGTGTTGATGGATGGCGTAATTGATAGTAGACAAGGACGCCTTCCCTGGGGTATAGATAAACATTGAAATCCTGGCTGCAGAGAGGGCCAGATTTTTAAAAGAGAAATTTACCTCACAAGAAAGCAAACAAACTAACAAATTCTGACCTAAAGATAATGACCGATGACAGGCACAATACTGCCAGGATTTAGCAAGACTCATTCAACATGTAAATCAATCAAGCAGGCTGCCTGTTTAAATTAATTCCAAGGACACAACTCATCAGTACTCTAATCTGAACAATCGTGTATCTTTCATTGCATTGTCGACCACTGTCTCAATCTCTTCTTGTGTAATTGCACTTGGCAAATGTGACTCACACTCAAGGTGAGGTGTCCCAAAATATTTTTCTTGCATTAGCACTGATTTCAAAGCTAATAAATTACTTTACTCTTTGATCAGTGGGGCTAGGTCAAGGACTAGCATTCTATTTCTTGAGGGCAAGTTTCTGAACGAAAGCATTCAAATTAAGACCACGTGCCTCTGACCTTCAGAACCAGCACTCAAAGTGCCCTTCCTTCACTCTAATTGAAATCACTTTCCTTACTTAGCCAGTGGCCTTTGTTCTGACAATGTCCTAGGCAAATCCAGACTTTTCACTGAGACTCTTACAAGCTCCTTCGGTTACTATTCACCAAAACCTGCAGTATAAAACTGACACACTTTCTAAGGTTTCTGTTTACATGATAGCATCCAATCACAAGATCCCCAACACAATTACATAAGCACTTGCCTCAACCACAGAATGTCCTCTCAATTCACGCACAGAGAAAATAAACACTTCACGCAGAAATTTTAAAGACAGCATACCCACAATACCATATTCCCACAACTGCTCCACTTAACATGGCTCAATATTCAAATTCCGGGGCTGTTGATGTTATAGCTTTCTGACATCAGATTTCATTGATAACCTTTGTGAACTACCTGCCAAGATCAATTTCTGCTCTTGTCAGTTTTTTCCCCAAGTCTTACATTCATATGAGGCTTACAGGTGCAGACCCTTGCCTCACCTGTCACTCACAGGAAGACCAAAAGTCATCATCAATTTTTTCCTCCTCTTTTAGTATCCCAAAATAGATTTGTCGGTCAAGATTTACAGAGAAAAAAAGAAGGGTTGCAAAAACATGATCCACTGAGAATAAAGGGTCTGAGACCGTGAAGTTTTGTCCTTCTGGAAGGGGGGGGGGAGTTCAGACAAGACCTGGGTGTGTTCTGGATGTTTCAGAGGAGTAACATCTTGTGATTATTCTCTAGAGTAAACAGCAAAGGAAGCAGTACGAGTGACAAGGCAGCTACAGTGTACATGCCTAAGAGGCCTTGACCTAATTTCTGTGATCCAAGTACATGTACAGGTCTGGTGAAGTTTTGGCACTTTTGTTCATGAGGAGACAGATTAGACCACTTTGTACTGGAAGATGTATAAACTCACTTAACAATTTGTTTTGTCAATATGCACAACATCAGAGAAATCTGAAGAGGTATTTGTTTACTGTATGTTGAACTTGATTTGGCTGCTGCATAAAGCTTGATATAAAGTAGCGAATAACACTCCGTTGGTGCACCCCAGAGTGATAGAATATTGTTTGCTTACTTGCTTGCTCACTAGCTCAACTGACCCGACTGAGTCAGTAGTTGTACGTTTCGCTGTACATGTACCGGTATACACATGTACATCAAAGGTTGTTGCTCAGCATCACATTCTTTAAAGGTTGAAAGTCTGGCCAAAGTAATACTACTAGAAGGTGGTTAAGAAAAAGGTATATTTAGTATGAGTGTATATGCGAGGAAAAGCATGAGAAAAGGAAACACGTACGGTAATTGATTAAGTTACACGTACAGAGTTTATAACTATCTGAAACCAATACCACTTCCATGACAACTATCCCCAAGTTGTTATCTCAAAGAGCAAATCTCTGTAATGTGCAGATGCAGAAGTTAAACACATCAGAAAAGACCAAATGATTTTGCCTTTGTTTCTTTGTATGTGCATTTATGCGAGGTACTGACTACACTGTTCTATCACAAGTCCATCAAAACTCATGCAGTCTTAAGCCAAGTCACAAGCTATTCAAATGGAGTGTGACAAATGAACTCCTTCGTCACTGTGCACTCCATTACTGGTTGGTGAATGGTTTTATAAAGGACTTGTAACTGGACTTGTGATGGACTGGACTACCGCACTGCTCAAATGGCCTGCATTGAGCCGATGAAACTTACCTTAATGACTTTGAGTGACCCACTAAACAGCATGTTGTTAGCTGCAACCAGTGTGCAGACAGGATTCTCATGAGCTTGAATCATCTTCTCCTGCTCCAAGGTGTCGATGTTCCACACCTGTACAAAATCCAAGCCAACAATTCTGTTACTGTCACATTAAACCACAGCATGCCAAATGCACAAACAACCATATCCCCTAATTATTCCTGGTGAGGATGATTTCTGTATACACTTTCACAATAAAAAACACTAATGAGATACATTTATAATAGTACCATACTTGTGCGTAGGGTATGCATCAGCTTGCGTTTTGGGGGAGTTATTTAGGTACAAAAAGTTCCACACAGACTATCAGTGAAAAGAACATTAATGCATACATGTATGTAGGACATACAAAGAAAAGAAAAGTCTTGTAAATGTTGAATTATTGGACTACTAATCTTGCAGCAATAAGCATATTGCAATCCTGTCTATACACTTATTGAAATTCAAATGGCTTTCAAATCAACTCGTTCTCAAACTTCTCAGTAATTAATAAGTGGGAAACTTGCATATAAGCAAAGGAAGTTTCACTCACGATAACAGTGCAGTCTGCAGACCCGCTGAATAATCGATTTCTGAATGACAAAATGAGATTGGAATGAAAATTTAATTCAGATGATTTAGCAAAATGACGAACTAAGACTTTCCAACACAAGCACATTAATGTAAGCTAATCTAACATGCCTTAGAAAGCCAGTTCATACTCGGAGTGAAAGCAACACTGAGCTTACTGTACCATGTTAAGTTCTTGTACAGCAAATTTGAAAAAGTCAAGTACATGTACAAACCAGTCATGACTACATTCCTTACTGCACTACCAAAAATTGTAAAGTGCAGCAGTGGGAATGCTTATAGCAAACACAAGTGTTAAAATAATTTGGTCTTATAAGTCTTGATTCCAACCAAACAATGAGATCACAGGCTTGATCCCAAGACGGCATCCAGTAAAATAATTGTGACATCATCAGCCAATGATTTATACCCTTAGAAACCCTTTCCTTCCCTTACCAATACAACTGCACATTTATGAAATCTACAAACCAGTGTAATTTCCCAGTGTTTTAATCCCTGACAATATTTAACCCAATCTTTTGTAGATTACTTCTTACCCATGTGTACAAAGTGCCAGCACAATGCCATTGTGTCCTTCTAATGTCTTCTGGCAGGTGTAACTGGTGCAGGTGTCCCATACCTTGATGGTTTTATCAGACGAACCACTGAAGAGGTAATCACCGTACACACATAAGCACCATACAGGTCCCTGAGAACAGGTCAAACGCATTAAGAAAGATTGAATTCGGATATACATGCAAAAACACACAGAGGGATCATTCCCATAATAAAAAAAAAGCAAAATCTAGTCCAAGATGCCCAATTCAGATCACAGCCTATCATCTGGAGGTGGATTTTGAGCACCCTGTGACATCAAAAATATCTTAGGTGCATGTAGAGAAATTGTGCAGTCCAGCTGCTCTACCAGACATAGCCCATTGCTAGGCCATTGTTAAGTGCAAATCTTGCGCACGCACACTTTGGTAATGAGCGCCCTGAATATGTGTGTCTATCAGAAGATGCGCAATATAAGCAGAAATGTTCTCAAGTATTTTAGGTTTCTTTAAGATCTATTACAGGAAACACATCAAACTGATGTTCTTGTATGTGTGAACATGAGTAATGTAGAGAATGGTGGTCCATTCCAACAAATGTGTGCTGAATTGGAAAATGTCAACCACACACACATGTACGGGTACATGTAAATACCTGATGTCCTACAAAGGTTCCCTTGCACTTGAAGACTTGTTGTGGGTCATACACTATTTGAAGAAAAAGAGAAAAATATGTTATTTATATGTTATTTTATTTTATGTACTTAAGTTTACATGTACATGTATGTGTATACATCACATCACAATGGATTCCTTGATAATGCACATGTAGACGGCACATGAAACCACACATAGATGTAAGAAAGATCTTAATTTCTGAAGAAGACAGGTAAGAATTCTCTTGAAGAAAAGAAAAGGCTCCGTCAGGATGACAGATGACGTTGTTGCTATGAGACTAAATGAAAAACCAAGTCTCCCTCTCAAACACCCTCCTCAGAGGTATCGGTATTAAAAAGCTGACACAGCAAATCAACTTCCATGGAAAGAGAATACAGAATAAAAACAATCTAAGATATTGCATCAGTCCTAAAGAGATCCTACAGACCTACATGTACATGTAAAAGAACAATTGATCTTTGAATACACAAAATTGTTGGTCTTCCAAAACAGCAGGCAATAAAACTTCCACAAATTTGGATCTACATGCATGTACCAACCTTCCTTTCATTCCTTGACCACAAATTCTGAGATTGTTCTTCCTCAAGTAATGCCTCATTTATACCCCTTTTTTCAACAACCTTTCCCCAGTAATGCTTTCTAATTTCCTTTGGCAGATCTAATTTCCTATGACATGTAGCATTTCTCCCAAAATAACTGGGCACACATCATCCTAAAAAAGGATATTTTGTTTCAAATCTTTGTCCTGACAGAGCAGCCCCGAGTTGGCTTGGCTCAACTCCGCGATGGATGATCTTAATATTTCCCTTCCAAGTGGAAATCTTTTTACTCATTATTTGCGAAAGTATTTTTTTTTTCATCTTTTCACAGCAGTGTGAAATAGTCACAAAGTGTGACACATGTACTGCAGACAATGTACCATGACTCGAACTCATGTCCAACAGCTGGATAAATTAAAAAGCTGGAGTTTATTATATCAAGGTACGCAATAAGAGCAAAGTATACACTTTGTGTGAAAGTATGAAGGGAGAATAGCCCCACAGTGGCCAAAAGAGGGTGCTATTGTCACAATAATGGTAGGGATTTATGAATGAGTGAGATCTACCATAATCATGTACACATACTAGTAGTACAAAGCCAATTTCACACAAATTATTAATTGTCAAATTATTGGAGAGATCCATGTACATGTACATATACAACTTACATATACATGTACATATATCTGTACATGTACATTGTACATGTAAGTTGTTGCAATCAGCTTCACTGACTGTATGTTCTATGAACCTTCTTACACAGGTCTAACAGAATGATAATTGTACACATCAACTCCACTTTATTGGATTGTTGGAACCGTATATTTTGTTAAAACTTATTTTTTCCAATAAAAATTTTTACAAGTACAAGTTCAATAAGAAACCCTCACACATACAGTAAATACTGCATGACGGTTAGTTGATGAGAGAGATGCGATGCCGAGATTTCACTGAGATAGGGTAGGGCTAGCTACCTCAACTTCCCCTAGTCAGCTGACATTTCCTGAACTCCCCTTTCACCACAAGATTGCCCCAACCTCCTTCAAAAAAGAAATTCCACGACAAGGTGGTGATTGATGAGAGTAATCTAACACAGATTGAAAAAGTGAAAGTGGTGAATATCTTGCAGTATTAGATAAAACAAAAAGGGAAAGAAATCACAGTGAAAAACGTAGGCTCAAGTACTCTCAGAAATGTTGCTCACTAATACCTGAAGATTTCATTTCCGTATTTTGTATTATTCAAACCTATGAAGCACTTCATTCAAGGCCAAAAAATCTGATCTGAAACAATCCTCTTCTGACTAGATCAAATTATGAACTTCAACAACTTAAAACCTCTGCACAAGGACACACAGAAAAGTGGCACTTGATGACAAAAACTTGTTCAATTATCAAAAGAAATGTAACATTTTTACAGCATACATGTCACTTTGCATTACACTTTAAGTGTCACAAAGAATCATAACTATCAGGGATGAGATTGACTAATTTTTTAAAAAGCTCTAAACAGCTGAAAAAAAGCATGTAGCTGAACTGTGAACACCTCCGATACACATACTTTTGTACACATCAGCCAGTGAGGAAAAAAAGCTGAAATCCAAAACAAAAAAGATGAAAGCAGCTAAAATTTAAAGCTGAGAAATTTCATCCGCGGACTAAAGAAGACATGTACAGTTGGTTTGTTTTACCACATGTACTGGTACTGGGGGTATTTGTATGATTTAGCAGTTTGAAAGGAGATATCATACAATATTTCAACTTTTAATTGATATTGAAGAGTCAAGTCTGTTAATTTCCTATGTTTTCCAATAAATCCCAATATAATTTTCCTGGAGTTGGCCTTTCATGATTAGGAAATGGTGGTTGAAACTTCTCTTACAGGCTGACATGTACATTGTATCTGTAAGGTGGGAGTATTTTTATTTGGGGTTAATTTCTGGTTTGTCAGGGTTCAGGGTTGAGTTTTGTTTTGGAAATTAACCAAAGTTGTCAGGAGCATTGTGGGTCTTTGGGATCATTGGGCATTAGGTACATAAATGTAAACGTTTTACTTTCTTTGGGTGAGCAGGAATCCATTTGTGCTCAATTCAGGACTCATCAGCCATAAGAAGAACTGGACGTAGCCCAAGAGGGGAATGTGACAGAAGAAAATCCTTGAGATATTTGGATAAATTTAACTACACTTCACCAAGGAATTTATGGATCGAATTCATTTATGACTGGAAGTCCTTTCAAATCTAAACAGAAAAACATGATTTGCATTGAGTGTTGGATAGTAAACTTTGATAAACAACACAGTAATGTACAATGTACAATGAGACTCTAGGGGCCATTTCTAGTAACCTGACACATGGTACCCTGTGTACATGTATATGTAATTTAGTATCACCACTCAGTATCTCAGTATGCTCAGCATCAGCAGATCAAATGGGCAGGCCAAGTTTCCCAAATGCCAGATGACTGCATCCCCAAATGGCTCCTCTATGGGACACTCAGTCATTGCTTTAACCACTATCTGAAAGTCTCCTTGAAAGATTTCAATAATGACATCGAGTTGTGGGAGTCCCTAGTGGAAAACTGCATGAAATGGCGTGGACTCATCTCCACAGGTGCCCGGACAGCAGAAAAACAACAACCCTCAGTGCCATCAAAAAGCAAGAGCTGCGTAAGGCAAGAGCCTCCAGCACCCCCAGAATCCCAGTCACTCATTGGTTAATTTGAGAGAGAGGGCTCCTTGCCCAGATAGGCCTCTTCACGCAGCCATCTCTGAGCCCACACCAGATAGACATCCAATCAGTATGGAAACTGGTCATATTTGACAACGAATGGCGAAAAATAACATACATCAATGTACCGTACATGTACTGCAGACCAAACTAGCACACAAGAACCTATATGAACAGAACCTACATGTACATGAGCAGAACCTACATGTACATACACGTGTGTATGTACAAACAGAACCTACATGTACATGTGTATGTACAAACAGAACCTACATGTACATGTGTATGTACAAACAGAACCTACATGTACATGTGTATGTACAAACAGAACCTACATGTACATGTGTATGTACAAACAGAACC